ACAATCCATAAGTCATTAACTGGGGCGATGTTAGACCTATAAGAATCTTTCCCAACGAGACACAGCCATCACTCACAGTTATAAATGTGGAGTTCATTTGGGGACCGGCCTACACAGCATCTTCCCTTTGAAGAGCTCCAGTCCTGTATTTAGACCCGCACTGGGGAGCACAGGGCCAACCAGTATCCATCCATTCACCTGCTTCTCCACGGTCTGCGAGCATCCGTCTCAAGCCAGGCAGCCCTCTCCCTCACCTCTGATCCATCAGTCATCTCCCTATACACATCTTCTCTGTATCCAACCACTTATCCGTCCGTCCATCCACCTATCCATCCACCCATGGTACTTCACCCTCTAGGACCCCAGGGCCAGACTTTCTGGGCCAAGCACTCAGCCCCACAAGGATTTACCACCTCAAAGTAATGGTGCCCAGGCAGGGGCTGAGTAGGGTCAGGATGTACACTTCCTCCCCTTCCCTCCCCTCCCAGGTGGAGATCATGAGCAGAGCCACAAGATCACGGCCAGGGCAACATTATTAAAGCTGCCTAGTGCAGGGGATGGCCTGGGGTCACCATTTAATTCAGTTACTCGGTGACCACTTACCTGTCTGTGTCTGCGTCTGCCTAAGCTGCTTCTCAGTGGCACGTTGCCCCAGGGGCCTGAGGACCTCATGTCTGTATGTTCTTGTCTCTTCCTGCCAGCCTGTGATGGGCTGCACTTCTCGTTCACCTGCCAAGGGTGAGGCACTGCACCAGGCACTTGGGGTGGGGGAGGGAGGTGGTAGAAATAAGTAAGACAAGATCCCCGCCCCCCCCCCCAAGAGTTCAAGGGGAACTGGGACAGGAGGAAGGCCATCCCCACCACAAGGTCTTGTAAGCTGTGTATAACATTTCCCCTTCCAGGGCCTTGCTCAGCACAGCTCTCAGGTGGTAGCTGGTCCGCAATCACTTTTCCATTACAGAAATCGATAACTTGAATTACTCCAAAATAACCAGCCCCTTCGTGCCCCTGCAAATCTAATTTTTCTGCGTCTGCATTTGCCCACATGCTTCTCTCTGAGCCTGAAATCTGTCTTCATGAGTCAATCCAGGCAGAACGGAACCTTTTGTCTAACTGTGACACACAGTAACAGAATAAGAGACGGATTTGGGATCGGAGACTTAGGTTCAAGCTTTCGCTCCGACACTAACTAGCTGTGGGCGCTCGTGAAGCCACTTAACCATCTAATTTCCTCATCTATAAAATGAGAATTCAAATATAACCACCCACAAGAGCGTTAAAGAGCACAATGGGATAATACTGTACAGGAGCTCCTCGCATATATTAGGGGATCAGTGAACCCTTGGATTTTGCTTGTTCTATACAAGAACCTGGAACCTGGCTATAAATCTACATCATGAGGCCACAGTATAATGAGATCCTAGTGTAACTCCAGCAATAACAATACCTTACATTGGAGAAACAGATTATCATTTACAAAGATGCCTTCTCACAACGCTTGTCATTCTGCAAATGACAAGCTAAGACTCAGTGTGGTTAAGCAATTGACCAGGGGTCTGCGGACCCGTGCAGCTTTCTGACCCCCTCCATACCCTTCCACCTCCTCCATCATCCCTGTCAAAACCACGAGTCCCTGTGCAGCTCTGGGACGCTAAGTTCTGCTGTCCAGCAGATGCTGAAGTGACAGCCCTTTAAATAGCCTCTTAGAGGAAGAGCTGTGCGCACAGCACAATCTGCTCTCAGTGCCGCCGGGAGAATAAATCCTCCCAAAGTCGCCTGAGAACCGTTCTGTGGAAACCTCGGAAGGCTGGACTTTGAAAGGAGGGAAAGAACACCTATTTCATGCCAGGCACATTCGTGGCCAGCTTCTCACCGGCTCCTCAAAACCAGTTGTTCTTAACCTTTTGGGGGGGTCACATACCCCTTTGAGAATCTGCTGAAAGCTGTGGATTCTCTTCCCCAGTTAAAGGTACATCGTTCTGCGTACAAGGGCAAGGGGTCAAGATTAAGAGCTCCTGGCATAAACCTGGGCTGTTCTAAGATTTCCTTAGGTACCAGGGACCTTCTTTTTTAAGTGCCCCACCCCTCATCATATCAAACATTTCCATATACATCCGCAACTCGCACTAAATCACACACTCACACACACACACACACACACACACACACACCTCGAGTTAAATTGCAGTTGACTGTTTGACAATGTTACATTTTGTAGATATGTAATAAAACATTAATTTCAGTTTTGTGCTTTTCCTATTTTGAAGCCAAATGAACTTTCTTGGTAAATTTCATTGAAATGTATCATACTTGTAGAAAATATGCAAATCTTAAGTGTACAGCTCCATGAATGCTCTGAACGTGAGCACACCTATGTAACTGCTGGAGAAACAGCTCATCAGGAGTCCCCAGAAGCTCCCAGGCCCCCTTCCACTCGCTGCCCCCCACCCCAGGGCAGCCGCTATCCTGACTGCTAACACCATAGATTAGTTCTGCCTGTATTAGAACGTGTTATACGTGCAATCATAGAGTTCATACTCATTTTGTGTCTGGCTGAATTCATGGAACCGATCAACTTTTCCATTCAGGTCTCAGATATCTTCAGAGACCTGTGAAAAGCTCATAGGCTCTAGGTACCGTCGAAACCAGGGGTTCTCAACCTTGCCTTCGCTCTAGAATCTCTAGGGGAAATTTTAAAACTCCTGATGCCCAGGCTGCACCCCAGAACAATGAAATCAGAATCCCTGGGGACAGGACCAGACATCAGTGGTTTTTCTTGCTCCCCAGGTAACTTTGATTACGACCAAGGATGAGAAGCACTTGTCTAGGCAATTCTGTAAAGTACTAGTATCCCGATTTTACAGCTGGGGAAACTAAAGCTCCAGGTCTTTCCACCATATGCAACTGTCATGAAGCCGGAGCTCCAATTTAGGTCTGACTTGGGGCGCTCTTTGCATTGCCTTCACCCATGGTGAACAGTAAAGCCAAAACCAGGTGTGGGTGCCTCCTGCCAGACACCTCGTCACTGTAAGTCCTTCCAGAGCTATGGAGAAGGGAGGTCATGTTTCCCAGGCTGCAAGACCCCCAGGAGAAAGGCGGCACCCCGGTGGCTGGCCATAGGGAGAAAGAGTCACCACAGACTGGACTCCATCTTTGCCCCACGCCACTCTGGAAGTCCCAGAAAAGTCCTTGCAGGTGGGAGCAGCTGCTTGTTTGGGGGTCGCGGAGAAGTTTCCCAGCCGCTGAGATGCTCTGGCCCGATCTGCTTTGATTTGGGGGTGCAGTGCAAGATGCCACCACTCGGTGGCACCATGAGCTTCTGTAAACCCTTTGGTTTTCACACACACCCCTGCCTTTGGCCAAAGGAAGCCAGAAAGCGGAGTCAGGGTACAGTGATGGGGGAGCAGCAGCCCAGAGCTGCCTGAGGGTTCCTCTGCTCCTGGGGCCTGATGGGGCCTGTCTCTGTCTGGCAAGGAGGTTGCAGGGATATGGCTGCCACTTCCCCCATAACTAAGCCAGCAGAGGAAAGCCAGGCAGAGAAGCCACGCCTCAGCCGGCTTCTCCCCTCACTGCCCTTCACCAAGCTGCCCCTGTGGGCCCCGCACGCCCATGAGGAGCCCAACCACCCACACTCCCGTGATGCCCTGGGCTTGAAGGTACCAGACCTCCCTTGGAGCCGAGGCACACCTCCAAGTCCTTCCCTGGGTTATCTGCCAAATCCTCACCCTAGGATGGCTGAGAGGGTCTCTGAAGCTGGTATACTCTTCCCCACAGTTTGGAGTCAGACTGTCTGGATTCAAAGCCAAGCTCTGCCACTTTCTAGTTGTATAGTTTTGGGCAAGTTACTTAACTTCTGTGAGCCTCAGTCTTTTCATCTGTAAAGTGGGAATAATAGTCCACACCACAGAGGGTCGTTGTGAGGATTGAATGATGAATTATGTAGAGTCTTAGCCTAGTGCCTGGCACATAGTCAGTGCTAAATAAATGTTAGCTACTATTGTTTGTTTATTATTACTACTAATAATAATGTTGCAAACAGGACAGACAAAATGAACCTACCTACATGTTAAAGAACAGCCTCCATTGTGACAACCCACCCACACCCCAGGTTTCAGCAGAGTCAGCAAGTCCAGCTGCCCCTTAGAAGCAGAAAGTACAAACAGGGAAGAAACGCAGGGTCCTGTTCAGAGAGGGCCCCCCCCAGACCCCCACCCAGAGGTGGAGCCATTGTTCCCATGGTCTGGTGGGATCCTCTCTTGTCCCACAGACCTGAATGTGTGACCCCGGCCATCCTACAGCCTCGGGCAACTTCCATTAGGGTGTCATCCCCAAAGTGTCAGAGTGAGCACTGGGTCAGGAGACAACCTTGGTTCTAAACCTGGCACTATCATCAACCAGCTGTGTGACCTAGGTCAAGTAACTCACCCTCTCTGGGCCTCCATTCTGCCTCACTTAGATGATCTTTAAATGTCCTCCCACATCTGTGCCACATGGTTTTAGCAAAGTATCTGGCACACAGTAGGTGCTCATTAAATGTTGTTTATTTTTATAAAAGCCAAGACACAGGGCTTCCCTGGTGGCGCAGTGGTTGAGAGTCTGCCTGCCGATGCAGGGGACACAGGTTCGTGCCCCGGTCCGAGAGGATCCCACATGCCGCGGAGCAGCTGGGCCCGTGAGTCATGGCCGCTGAGCCTGCGCGTCCGGAGCCTAAGCTAAGACACAACTCTACTAGGTTCCAACACCCACATACTTTTCTTTAGAACTGAGTGACCTGTGTGATCCAACCCCAAACAGATATGAGCTCAAGAAATGGGTATTTATCTAATTAATCCATGACTTGATTTTTTTTTTTTGGCGATACACGGGCCTCTCACTGTTGTGGCCTCTCCCATTGCGGAGCACAGGCTCCGGACGCGCAGGCTCAGCGGCCATGGCTCACGGGCCCAGCCGCTCCGCGGCATGTGGGATCCTCCCTGACCGGGGCACGAACCTGTGTCCCCTGCATGGGCAGGCGGACTCTCAACCACTGCACCACCAGGGAAGCCCCGTGACTTGATTTTGACCTGGCTTTCAGTCTAACCTGTTCCCCCCACGTAAGGATCCCAGGGCCTCATAAAGCCTCCAGATTAGGGATGCAGAGTGTCTGCCTCCCACTAGACTGCAAGCTCCAAGAAGACAGGGACCGTCCTGCCCGTGTCAGGGCACTGCCTCTTCAGGAGCACACTCAGCCCTGCCTCCTCGCCATGGTCCTGGGGCACAGATCTGGCCTCCCACCACCGTGGGGGAGAGAAGCAGCACAGAGCCTCAAGCTAGGCAAGGCCTTTTATTGGAAAAAGAAATAATAAAGCAAAAGGCCACCACATCGCCTACGCCCAGCCCTCCCACAGGAGACGCACAGGTCAGCCCCAGCCATACGGTGGGCCAGGGTGGGTATAGGGGTAGGGGCTGTGCTGGAGCCCACCGGGCTGCAAGCTCACCCGGGGCATCCTTGGACCGGCACCCACTTAGGTTCAGGGGCTGGGCTGCCCTCTCCAGCTCTCTGGAACTTTCCTACACGCTGCTCCTGCGTCCAAAAGAAAACCAGACCCCTCTTTGGTTCCAGAAAGCTACCTGGCTAGCTGGTCTTTCATATCCACTCTAGCACCTCCTGCCAGCTGAGGCAGGCAGTCTCCTTCTGTCCATCTTCAGGCACCAGGATGGGGCTGCTGGGTGTCGGCAGCCAGGGCCTCATTGGCTGGACACCCCTCTTTCCTTTCAAGAAAGGAATTTGCCTTTTCCCCTGCGGGTTAGCAGCTCCTTTGACCTTCCAAAGAAGCCTCACTTAAACAGCCTTAGGGAGCCCCGGAGCCTGGGCGGGCTGAATATGCAGTGTCCATGGCCCCGTTGCCTTGTCATGAGGGACTGAGAGGGGGACACGGAAGGCCCTGGAAGGTTGGCTCTGTTCTTCTAGAGCCCCAACTTCTTTTTTGTCAGAATGTACACAGCCAGAAGGTGGGGAGAACATTGCAGGTAGGGGAGAGGCCAGGAAGAAGAGCCACCTGGCAGCCCAGGCAAGGGGCAAGGGACATTAGGACATTTATTTACAGGGGGACAGGCTGGACCCACACAGAGAAGCAGCCAGACCGTGGTGCACAAAGATAAGACAGGATGCAGAGGGGGTCATTGGCCCAGCAGCCAAGGGGAACGTACAAGTGCACTCACATACATGCACACACGCATGTGTACACACACTCACACAAGTGCACTCACCATGCACACACCTGCCCTCACACACAGTACACACAGGTGCATTCATGCACATAGTGCACTCACATATGTGCACTTACACATGTGCCTGCGTGCACACACACTCATTCTCACACACGTGCAGGTTCTAATCTCAGGAAGTTGGCTCCAGTTCTGGTGGTTAAACCCCCCAAGGCTACATCTCTCCATGAGGCATTTCTCTAGACCCCCATATAACCTCCCAGAGCCCCAGGCCATGTGCCCCACCACCTGCACCTGGTGGCCTGCGAAGTCGCAGGACTTGGACGCTTCTTGGCAAGGCTAAGATGACCTCCAGGCTCTGGGTGGAGGACAGGGACACCATGAGTCTAGAAGAGGTCAGGAGGGGGCTGAAGAGCTCCCCACTGCAGCGCCCATAGGCTGACCACTCCTGTCTCCACAGACCTTGAATTCGGTGGAGGCAGGGTCACAGACAGGCAGAGGCCCCGTGGTGGCATCAGAAAGAGCAGACACTGGGAGACGGCCATGGGGAGCAGGGCCCTGATGGAGGGAGTCCTGGTGGATGCGGGATTTGGGGTGAGGAATCGTGCAGGATGGGAATTCTCTACGTGACAGACCTGGATCCTCTTCTGGGGTGTTGGGAGGGGAGCTGCAGAAGAGAGGGGCTGTCCAAATTGTGTTGTCCCCACCCCAGCCTCCCCCTGGAAAACCTGCCTCTGTGTGACCCAGACCAGCCCCATCGGGTAAGAGCCAGGTCAGGAAGTGGACCGTCCTGCCAGGGGGCGCCGTTGATGGCCCGCAGGCAACACTGGGCGGGTCACCCTCCCTCCTGCCCTGGGCAGCAGGGTGGGCCCAGAGAACGACTCAGAAGCGGGTGCTCTGGTAGCGTAGCCGCCACAGGTCTGCAGGGCCCTCAGTCCAGTCGTACACCTCCCTGCAGGGACTCTCGGCCAGTCACCGGCCACCCGCCCCGCCGCTGCTGCTGCCGCTGCCACTGCTACTGCCACTGCTGGAGCTGCCACTGCTGCACCGGTCCTCGTAGATGGAGATCTCGATCTGGGGCGGTGTTAAGGAGGGATGCAAGCGGACAGGAACTGGCTGATGGAGGCCAGCAGGGAGGCGGGAGGCAGAGCTGGTGCTGGTTCCCAGACAGGAAGGACTCAGAGGCCCGGGGAGCCAGACCCGAGCCCCTCCTCGCACCTGCGCTCACTCAGCTCAGATGCTCCTGCCCGCAGCCAAGACCAGGAGCTTGCATTCTAGTGCGTCTAATCGCTGTGTCCCAGGCTGGGGATGTGCCCAAGAGGGGGTGGTACTGCACAGGAAGTGTGAGGACTTGGGTGTCCTGAGTTCAGATCTCAGCTCACCCATCTCATCTGTAAAATGGGGATAATAATAGAATCTTGGGGTTACTGCAAGGATTAAATGAAATAAAACATGTAATGCACAATGCCTGGCACATAGTAAAGTCGCAAAGACGAGAAGAGGCTGTCCCTGGGCTTTGTAAGCATGAGATTCTGGGATTTGCATTTTCTTTATTCTTTTCCTGTCAGTTTTCCAGTAAAAGTTATTTTTAAACAATTCTACCCTCTGCTGCTGACTGGGGGGCAGGATGTATGTACACCTTGACCAGGTGGAGTGAGCAGACCTATAACCCTCTGGAACGCCAGCCTCCCACCGAGACCTCACTTTTCTCATCTGTGAAAGGGCAACAACAGGACCTGCTCATTGAACGGGCTTCAGTGAGGGTTACATGCAAGAGCATTGACGAGTGGGCCTGAGCTCAGATCCTGGCTCTGGTGGTCACCAGCTGGGCGGCCCTGAGCCAGGGTCAGCTACAAAGGCAATAAGAAGAGTTAGCCACTTTATAGGGGTCTTATGAGAAGTACATGGATTCATATTTTCACAGCACTTACTATGATATCTGGCATGTATTAAGCACTGATTAAATGCAGCTCAATAAAAGCGAAGCCTAAAATGCACAAACAGCACTAACTTGGGGTGGAGGCAGGGGCCGATGACCAGGGGTGTGGGGAACCCTGGGAACTCCCTGAACAGAGGCCCCGAAGGTGGTCCCATCTCCCAGCAGCCTCACCAGGGGCCCACTGGCCGGCAGCTCTGTGCCCTCGCACGGAACAGCTGGAAAGGATACAACCCTCATCCCACGCTCCACGGGGTCTGTGAGCAGGAGACCTCGGGGGGCAAAGACCTTCTCGTTTTGCTCCTGGATGTATCGGGAGATCTTCTTGAGGACCTGCAAGGACAGGGACCAGTTGAGGATGAGGGTGGAGCACAGGAGCCCTGGGGGAAGGGATGCGGGGCTGTGGGGGAAGGAACCACCTTCTCATAGTGGGTCTCCATGCAGAGGAAGATGAAGTAGGCCGTGGCACAGGCCAGGCAGCCCTCGAGGTAAGAGCTGCCCCCAATCTTCTCCGCCTCCGCGTAGAAGCTGTTGAGGGTCTTCACAGTCTCCTCAAAGAGCTGCCGCTCGATCTGGAGGGAGAGAGGGACAGGGAGCCAGGCCCAGGTCAGCCTCCCTGGAGGTGGCAGTGGTGGGCCCGCACCAGCATTGGGGTTGGCGGCACACAGGGAAGACCGGCGAGGCTGCAGGAGCGCATGGAGCGCCACACAGGGAGTCAGGAAACCTGGGGTCCAGTCCAGACTTGGCCATCAGCTAGCTGTGTGACCTTGGACTGATGACTTAACCACTCTCACCTCAGTTTCCACATCTGTAAAATGGGAGTAAGAATGACTACTTGACCTCCCTTGGAAACAGAAAATTCCCATGAAATCCAAGATGTGAACATTTTCTGCAGCGGATCAGGCAGGAATTCCAGTGACTTTGCCACACACACACACACACACACACACACACACACACACCCCATTGTGATGGCTGTGAGAGGGCTCAGGACCTGATTAGTAGGGGCTCTCCACGTTTGGAGAGCATGAGACTGATTGGGTAAGACCTCAGGAGTGTCTTTCCAGGAGGAGGCACTTCCTCCCAGTTAAGAGGTCACCCAGGGGACTTCCCTCTTGGTGCAGTGGTTGAGAATCCGCCTGCCAATGCAGGGGACACGGGTTCGAGCCCTGGTCCGGGAAGATCCCACATGCCACGGAGCAACTGAGCCCATGCGCTATGACTACTGAGCCTGCACTCTACAGCCCATGAGCCACAACTACTGAGCCCATGTGCCAGAACTACTGAAGCCCTCGCGCCTAGAGCCCGTGCTCCGCAACAAGAGAAGCCACCACGATGAGAAGCCCGGGCACCACAACGAAGAGTAGCCCCCACTCGCTGCAACTAGAGAAAGCCCACACGCATCAACAAAGACCCAACGCAGCCAAAAATTAATTAATTAATTACTTAAAAAAGAAAACAACAGGTCACCCAGAACAGGACAGCCCCATGCATTTGGACAACTGAGAAGCTATCCTGCCTGCATCCATAACCATAATAGCTAATATTCATTAGGTACGGTCTCTGTGCCAGGCACTTTTTATGTATTCTTTCATTTAACCCTCATAACAATCCTATCAGAGAAGTACGACTCCCACCCCCATTTTACAGGGGAAGCCTGATGGAAGCTCTGCTCTGTGGTCCAGACCACCATCATCTCTGACCTCTTTAAGTGGTCTCCCTGCCCCCAGCCCTGTCAAGGGAGACTGTTAAAGTCAGATCATGTCATAACTCTGATCAAGAGCTTCCCAAGTCCCCATCTCTCTCCAAGTAAAACCCAAGGAGTCCTTACGTGCCTGTGAGGCCCTCCAGGGCCCGGCCCTGCAACTCCTCTGATCCCATCTCTTATTCTCTTGACTCCAGCCACACCGACTGCCCACTGCTTCCTGAAAATGCCGCAGGTCCTTTGGGCCTGTGTCTTCAGCTGCAGTACTTTTCCCCAGACACCCCCTGCCCTGGCTCTTCCCTTACTTCCGCTTAGGTCTCGCCTTATCTGACAGCACCCCACGTCCTCTGCCCAGCTCCCCATTTGTACTTGACCTCCTCTCTTATATTTCCAGTATTTGTTACCACCTACATATTTTCTTGTTGTTTTTTAAATTTTTTTGTATCCTCTAATAGAAAATAAGGTCCATGTGTTCACTCCTACATCTCCAGTGCCCAATACATTGCAGGCGCCTAATAAATACTTGCTGAATGCTGCATGAACTTGGCCAAGTTTACACAGCTCTGACCCGAGTCTGTGCCCTTCACCATGCAGCCCTCCACTGGAGCCTGGAGTGGAAGGTCATGCTCCAAACTCAGTAGGTATCAGAGTGTCTCTCATCCCATTTTTTACATTCTTTAAGCACCCCCCTCCCCCTCTCACCCCCACAGGACCAGAACTGCCCATCACATAAGATTAGGGACCTCCCATTCCTGTCTAGAACAAAAGCTCTCCCCCCAAATAGTCAGAAGCTTTGGGGTTCCCAGCCACTACTTCTATAAAGGTCTGGAGTGAACATATAGAGAAAATTATGTCCATCCTGTCTGGGACCCAAGCCCTGCTGCTGTATCTCAGGGATCACCCCCGCCCCAAAGGACAGGCATGCTAAGATGAGGAGATCTACATGGCTCCCCAAAAGCTGTTTAGGGGTCAGATCAGCAAAGGCCACCCCTGCCCCACCCTCCCAAACTCATTCAAATCTGCCTGGGCTGCTGAATGAAAGGTCATGGTCCTTCTTCTGCCCTCCCCCAACCCCAGGCCAGTTCTAAGGGGGCCTGGGGTGAGGGCTACATACACCCAGGACCAGGAGCAAAACTCAGCAGAAGAAGCTGATGCCTTGCAAGGGGCCAGTGGTCCATGAAACAACCAAGTAGCTGAGTTGGAGCGGGAGGCTGTGGGCAGAGCCCTTGGTTGACGGCCTCTGATGCCACCAGCAGACCCTGTGATGGAGCATCAGGCTCTCCCCTCCGTCCGAGGTGAGGAGAAGGAGGGAAAAGCACCCTCCAGCCCTTCCTCCAGGTCTCTAAGCTTTCCCTGCCAAGACTCTGATCACCCAGGCACCAAGGAAACAGGAGTCCTGTGAAAAAGCAGAGAGTCGGACACCAAGGCCCTTTCGGCCCCCAGTCAGTTTGGCACGTCACTTCCTCTTCCTGGCCCTGAGTTTCCTCTCTTAAATGAGAGGATGAACTAATGCAATGCTTCCCAAACATTTATGCACATATGAATAACTTCAGGATCTGGTTAAAATGCAAATTCTGAGTCAGTAGATCCAGGGTGGAGCCTGAGATTCTGTGTTTCCAGGGGACGTTGACGTTGCCTGTTTTGGTTCAAGGGCTTAGTTGTTCTCAATTGTGGTACACACTAAAATCACCTGAGCAGCTTTTGAAACATAGGCATACTCAGGTCTCACCTCCAGGAGATTCTGATTCAAATGGTCTGAGAAGCGAGAGGGTGGTTCCAAGCAGCAAGGACTACCACTGTCCTATTCTACCCAAGCTGACGCCCTGCAAGGTTTTCTCAGAAGCTCCCAGGTGATTCTAACGGGCAGCCCAGCATGAGACTCATTGTACTAGGAGACCAGAGATTCTCAAAGTGGGATCTGTGAATCACCCAGTTCCACATCACCTGGGGATTCCTCATTAAAAATTAAGATCCTCAGCCCCGGACGCACAGTGGAGCCACCCAGGGAAATTTAAAGCAATGCTGGTGCCTCGGCCCCAGTCCCAGACACTCTGATTTAATTGATCTCGGGTGTGGGCTGGGCATTGGGATTTTTTTAAGCTCCCCAGGAAATTCTAATGTGCAGCTGGGGTTGAGAAGTGTTTCTAAAAAGAGATTCCTGAACCCAGTCCTGCAACTGAGTCAGCATCTCTAATGACACCTAGTATCATCCAATAAGCAAATTCCAATAAGACCCAGGAATTTGCATTTGTTTGACAAGCTCTCTAGGTGATTCTCTGAAATTTGAGAGCCACTGAACTAGAAAATCTCTGAGGTGTTTCAGCTCTAACTTTCTAGAAGGTGACAGCAAGACAGTGTTAAGGACATTATTTAGTTCTTCCACCTGAAGTGGCTGAGCAAGTTGTTTCCTATACTATTTTTTTCTTGGAAAAATATACGTATTCTAATAAGCCCCTCGGTTCCATCATAGTCTATGATCCAACTTTAGGAGAAGACATCCTTACCCGGCTGTCCAGCTCTGGGGGGAATTTGGTCTGGAACTGACAGATGGTCCCATCGCTGTAGTCTCTCTGGATAAAGACCTTGGTGGCCAGCGAGGCACTTCGCCGGAGCTCCTGCAGATTGTGGACCTGGGGAGACGTTCAGGAGACACGCACTCAAGGTGATCATCCTTCTAGGTTTGTCCAAGACTGAGGGGTTTATTGGGGTGTGGGCCTTTCATTGCTAAAGTCAGGAAAATTCCCAGCAAACCAGGACAACTTGTCCACCCCACAAATGTTCAAGGAAGGTTGCGGGAAGCAGGCTTGTTGAGTTTACTCCAGAAGATGCCTCTAGCTATCCCAGAAAGATCTAGAAAAATCCTTAAGCAGAGCCAAAGCTGAGCCAAAGTGAGAGTTTCTGGAACCACCAACAGAGCCAGGAACAAATTTTAACGAGAGGAAAACACTTCCTGGTGGCTAGCCCAGATCCTCTCTCTCTCTCTCTCTCTCTCTCTTGCTCTCTCACTCTCTCGCTCTCGCTCTCTCGCTCTCTCTCTCTCTCACACACACACACACACACATGCATGGTGGGGTCTTTCACTCATTCATTCAGCAAGTATCACATGTTCACAGCTTGTCAGGCTGTGGCTTGGGGACCCCAGCACTGGACAAGACTGATGCCTCGGACCCATCCCACCTAGTAGAGCTGACAGGGTTGCTTGTGGGGCAGAGGAAGATGTGATGCGCCCATGAACTCAGAGGGAGACGGGTTCAGGCCAGGTTATGGCTTAAGTCAGAGACACCACAGATTGTTTCCACGTCCAGCACGTCTCATCACAGGAAAGAAGGGGCCCATAGACATCCAAATTTCCCAGAGAAAATTGTGGATAAAGTGGGCTGAGGCCAGAAAATGAAGAAATCTCCTGCCCTTGTAGGAAGGAGTGGGGTGACTTCTGTTCCTTGTCCACACCTGCAAACTTGACATTGACACAGACTCTAGCATTTCAGAGAAGTGGGCTCAATTCCACGGAAGAACTGGGCCTCTTTCTTCCACTTCCAGCCTCCATCACCCACATTTGAGACAAGCTTCCCACTGGGTGAAATATTCCAGACATTGGAACCACGTGGAGCCCAAGCCCCAAAGGCAGAGTGAACACAGCCAGTTCATCCTGTGTAATTAAGGTGAATCCATTCAGTCACTCAGCTTTCATTTATTGAGTCCCTACTATTGCCAGGCTCTGGGGATGCTGAGCAAAAGACAGTCTGTGAGCTCCAGGGAGGAAGACAAGTAAAATACAATGAATCAGACTGATAAATGCTGCGGAGAAGTAGCATCTCCCCCAGAAACGCTTACTCAGAAAAGGCTCCCTGAAGTCTGTGTGGAGTCATAAAGGAGCTACCAGCGGTGGGGGGGGGGGGGGGTGGGCGGGGAGGGGGGGTGAGGGAGGGAAGAAAAGGCAACCCAGAGGGAGGAGCTTGTGCAAAATTAACGGAGACAGCAGAGAACAAGGTCTACTCCAATGACTGGAGGCAGATTTCAGCAAGACTGAGGTTGGTTTGCAGAGCAGATAAGAGCAGTAGACGATGAGAGTGTAGAGAAGGCAAGGGTTAGATCACAAAGAGCTTGACAAGTTCCTACTGGAGCGGAGGGTTTAAGATGGAAGATACTTAAATTGCTTAAGAGCTGGGGGAAGAATAAGTAAAGAGAGAAATGTTTTCAGTGTGGTAGTAGGATCAGATGACAGGTAGATCAAGGTCCTGGGATGGTGCTAACAAGACTTTCCTAAATCCCAGTGAATTTTGCTCTATGTAAGGGTGTGATCCTATATTGTAAATGGATGAAATACTGGATAAGGGCTCCTATAGTCCTTGATTCCCCTAATCAAGGTTTTAATTGAAGGAGTCCCCTTGACATTTAGTAGGATCCTATGATAGCTTTGAAAAATAAAAAATGCTTTGGTAATATAAAAATGTTATTCATCAGTGTGTCTGCTCTGTCTGGTTAAGGTTTCATACAGCTGTATTTTCAAAGGAAAAGGAAGGGGCTGTGACCTTCCTCCGACCTTCTAAACCAACCTACATGAGCCTGTCAATCTTGAGGATGGACTACCCTAGCCCCAGAAGGATCATTCTGGTAGCTTCGTGAGTGGTGCATGGGAAGTGGGCATGACTGGGGTAGGGGGCCAGGTGGAGGGATGACTATCTTTGTAGTAGTCCAGGGGAAAATTAAAGTGGGTCTAACTTAAGAAAAATAATGGTGAGAATGGAAAGAAAAGGAAAGAACAGTGCTTCAGCCATTCTGAAATGGGCTCAGCTTCTTCCCCTCCAATATCCTCCTTTGTCTGTGACGGATGCACACATACTGTGTGCTACCATGAAGGTATACGTCTCTAGTGACTGCCTAGCTGTTGACTACAGCCACTTCTTCCTCTTGGTCACACAGCTAGATTAATTCCCAGCCTCCCTTTCAATTAGGTGTGGCCATATGACTGAACAGAATGCGAATGGAAGTGATGAATGTCACGTATAGGCTTGGCTCATAAAGACCACCACTCCTCTGTGATTTTTCTCCCCTCCCACAGAAACCAAGAGAGCCATGTGTTGAAGACAGTGGAACCACAAGCTGAAGAGAGCCTGGGTCCCTGGATCACTGCCTAGAGGAGAGCCACCTACTGATCAGGAACGCCGGGCTGGGACTTTACTGAGCAGGAAATAAACCTCTATTTTATTACACCATTAAGATTTCAGGGGGCTACCTTACAGAGTACAGTCCCATTTCCTTTTGGCTTTTATCAATGTGCTCTCAAGTAGCCAGAGTGGGAAGGGTCAACATGCTTTCCAAACCCAACCATATCCTGAGCCTTAGAATACTGTCCTGGCTCTAGATGACTAGGGATCTTCTTCCCTCCCTGGAGAGTGTCTGTGGGGTCTCGAGGAGGTGCTAGAGGATGGTAGCAGACACATTTTGTATACCAGAGCCCTAGTTTCCCAGATCTACTTAGAGCACACAGACTCTAAGACTCTAACGCACCCGTAGTTAGTAGGATCTAAGGCAAGGCAGGGTCTCCTGCCTCTTACTTCTCACCTTCCTCAACCCTCCCCTCTCTCCCATCACCATCCCCCAGCTGCTGGCAGCTGAGTCAGGACAGGACCAAGAGGCCCTGCATGAGGAAGAAAGAGAAAATCAGTGGTGAGATCTGCTGACACCAATTTTTGAACTGCATGGCAGGGAAAAGGAGGCTGCCAGGAGAGTGGGCATCCCAGGTCTCACATTTAGGGTCTGTACACTTGACAGAGTCAACTTGGCAGAGGCGGGGAGCAGCGAGCACTGGAGGGCAGATGAGCACCCCCAGGCAGGTCGGACCAAGACAAACAGGAGGCCCCATCTGGCCCACATCTCCATGCTCGTTAAAAACCAACGAATTCCAGAGGACGTTTTCGAGACTCAAGAATCAGAAGGTTCCGCTGATGAGCCGACACCATCCTCCCTGGCTGGGGAGTGAGGATCCTGAGTCACAGGCAGCCGAGCCGGGCTCAGGATGGAAACCCAGGCGCAGGGCCTCCTCCTCAGGCTGCACCAGAGCCCCAGCCCAGCGCATTGTCTGCTGCTTGTTAATTTCATGCCTCAGAGATCAAACCTCCAATGCCTTTCTTGGCTAACGCTACTTGGGTGCATTTAAAAATCTCTGAGGGGCCAAACTCCACCACTTGGACAAGCCCCTCCCAGCCAAGCATTTCCCAGTTGTCCTTGGCCATCTGGACTGGTTTCCAGGGCAGACCCTGCTCCCATGACACACATTCGCAGAGGTTTGTCACGCAGGAAATGGGCTCATTACAGTTTTCCAAATGAGGTCAGTGTATGGCTCAGGAGGCTTCATCCCTCCTCTGAGGTCCTCACACACACCCCTCCCCTAATGCTAACTCCTAAACAGAAAGTAAGGAGTAGAAAATATCCAGTTTCCATGCCTTCCATCCAGGGATATCCAATCTTTCTCAATTCTCTCCCTCTGTCTCTTCTTCCCTCCCTCTCTCCCCTCTCCTCCTCTCAAAACACTTTCTGCTGGAGCTGAGGACCTCCCATTCAAAATCCTAAGAGAATGGCCACAGGAGCTTGGCATGAGGTTTTCCTTCTCCCAACAGGTTTTTCCTGGTAATCTTAACACAGTCCTAACAGTAAAAACAGCCTGGGGAAAATGACTCGCTCTGCAGCCCAGATAACGTGAACGTCCTGTGCCTTGGCAGAGCTAAGGCTTCCTCCCTCTGTGCTGCCATCAGAGTCCACCCAAGGCCAAATTGGGAAATGGGCAATATTTGTCCTCAGCCCCTCAACCCTGTGGGCACTCCTCCATCCCTCTGCCCTCAAGCTGAACCAGCCAGGCCAGTCAGGGTACCTGCGTCCCCATACTCCAGCCCTTCCAGAACTCCTTTGCATCCTTCCCCCATCAAAGTCTTATATCAGGACTCCTAGTCCTCTACTCTCTACTGGGCAACACAGTTGGCTAATTGGATACACCTGGATGCAGCAAACAAAGCACTGGCCAGGGAGGCAGAAGACTCAAGTTCTAGCCCTGGCCCTGCCACTTTTTAGCCGTATTTTCTTAGATAAGTCTCAGCACTCCGGTTGCATCATCTGTAAAATGGGATAATGATGCCTTCCTTGACTCCTTCACAGGGATTAGGCAAGCTTCTGAGCCTCGGTTGTCTCATCTGTTAATTGGGGATAATGACACTATCCTCGCCTACTTCACAGGGTTGCTCTAAGGCTCAAAGGAGATCACTCATGTGATAGTGCTTTGTATACAGGAAAATGCTATATTCACAGAAGCATTATGAGCAGAGCTAACAGCAGGCTAACAGCAGCCTCCTGGAAACACTGCCTCGACCTAGAGATGTAAGCCTGCTGGTTAGAATCTGTGAACCATAGCAGACCTGAGAGGGAGATTTGCCGGGACAAATGGGCCTCATCACAGATGTGGCCACCTTTTCTGCCCACACTGCTGGCCCAACTGTCCCCACGTGGCTGAAGTCTCCCCTTCCTGTCCAACACCAGCAGCCTCTCTGCTGCAGTCTGCCAGCCCTGTCTGGAACATGACCAGCTCCTTGGCCATTTCTCCTTTGTTCTTCCTCCTCTTCTCAGTATCTCTGGCACTTTCTGAGCACTCTGCCTTCCTCCACCCTAGAAACCAAGCTCCATGGGTCTGCGCAGGGCTTGTCCCCTCACAGGGTCCTGAGGGACGAGCTATCCTAGCTAACCCTGTGCCTTGTCAGAAAGCCGAGTGATGCCAAGCAACTGCACCTCGTTCTGTGGTGGCGACGACAGCAGAATAACAACAGTAACACTTGGTACTGATGTCACGCTGCTCAGCAAGATGCCCAGAGGCACTGCATAGGATCATTCAAAAGCCTTTGCTATCCCCCTGGCTTGTGTTCCAGCTGGGTTGGAAATGGGGAAACACCACAAAAAAGTCAACATTAGAACTGGGGAAATCTGGTGTCCTGGGTTCCACTCCAAAATTCAAAGAAGAAACTTTCAGCTCTGCTGCTGACACGCTGTGTGAGTGTTAAATAGGTCCTCCCCTTCATGTATTAGCTTTACCACTTATGAAGTGGGAATATTAAGAGCTCCATTTCCCTTGTGAAATGAGGGGGTAGAGGAGGTAATTCCTGATCTCTTAAGCAATGCACATAGATCCTGCCCTCAGTCAATAGGTCCCTGGTTCAACTTTCAAGTCCCTTGAAGGTGACACAGGTATAGGCACACCCTGAAGAAGGCAGCTCCTCCCATCAGACACAAGGGAAATGCAGTCTTCTGGTACAGGAAACTCAAAAGGGGTGAAGAAGCAAGAAAGGGTAATATGCAAAATTGAACTGGTGCAGGCAGCTCACTAAAACCAGCCATTTGGGGTTTTGACCTGAGGATTCTTTGTCCCCTCCTGTCCCCCTGCCCCCGGGGAGGAAATGCAGATGTGAAGGCAGGTCTGTCATCTCTTAGCCAGGCTTTTGGGCTCAGAAGCTGGATGGCTGCACCACGTAGCAACAGCAGCCAGCCGCCTTCTCTCCCCTAAAACTGGCTCAGGCTCGTCTCCAAGCCTCTAGGGAAGTGGTTTCAGGACTTTCAGTCCATGGGAAGGGGAAACCCCAGCTGAGGCCCCGGGAGCAACCCTGGCACTAGTGCCAACAAGTGGTGCGGACAGCTTCGGGACTCCGATGGGGAAGATTGACACGCCAGGGGTGAAATGAGCTCCAGTGAGGAGCCCCTCTCTTCCCCCCGGCCACTTCGCCCCTCCCCCACGCCTTCCCTGCGGACCCGATCCGGGAAACCACCCCATCCCATCCTACCCCACCCTCCGTCTTCCTTCCCCGCCCCTAGCTGGGATCTCTTCCCACAGCAGCCGGGCACTGCCTGCGGGCCGGTGCTCGCTCCCTACCTCGGTGGCCATGTTCCGGGGGCGCTGACAGCTCCGAGCAGCTGCGGGGCCCGTCGAGGGGGGGTTGTCCGCCGTGCTGACTCGGGCAGCAGGTGGGCTGGCGGCAAAGAGATGGGGCCCGGGGCGCTGTCCACGGTGCTGATGCGGACGCCGCAGACCCGTGCGCCCGTGGGCTGCTGGGCGGGCGGGCGCCTAGGTCCTGGAGACGGTCACTGTGCTCTCCGCGGTGCTGATAAGGGCGCCGTGCCGGAGAGGCGAAGCCTCAGCCGAGGCTCTTCCGGGCCCGATCGCTGGTTGCCGCTGCTCCTGCAGGCAGCGTCCCGGTTTATCTTTAACAGGGGCGGCGGGCGTGGGGGCGGCGGGGGGTGGGGGGTGGCGGGGAGGAGGGGCCAGGCGCCTCGGCAGATCGGGTGGGAGAAGCGGCGGCCCCGGACTCCGGCGCCCGCCCGCCGGAGAGGAGCCCCGCCCGCAGCCAGAAGCTCCGCTCCTGCCGGGCCCGGAGGCCCCGCCTCTCCTGCCTGCCCCTCCCCCTAGTAAGAGAGCCAGGACCTCGGCGCTCGCTACCGAGGCCTCCAGGGACTTGCAGACTCAGAGGAGAGAGAGGCAGGACCGTTCTGGGGCAAGACACTCTAGCCTGCCATGGCTGAGGGTCCTCGACTCGTTCGCAGGCCCCCAGGTGCGGGCCCTTTACCTTTCCAACGCCCTTCTCCCCAACCCCTCCCCCATCGTGGCCCAGGCTGCCTCGTCTGCGTTTTTTTCCTCTTCTTTCTCTTCTGTTTCTTTGTGGCCCCCTCTCGAGGCTTGCATGGACGTTCCCTCCTCTCCCCTCTCTCCTTTTCACTGCCTTGAACCCTATTAGCTAGAGGAGGCTGCTGCAGACCGCAGAGAATCATCTCCTTTCTTTAAATATGTACCCTTGTTTCATCCCCAGAGATACCCTGGGGTCCCTTCTTTCAGGGAGCTCCAGAACTGAAGCCAGCCTCTCCTTGCTGCTTTTCCTGGCCCTGCCCCCAACCCTTACTCTTCCCTCTCTCCTCTGAAATCCCAGAGTTGACATACACACCACCATCACCAATTAAAAACCACAAGCAGATGGTGTCAAATGGGTATGCCCACTCTCTAAGGATGGCAGGTCTGGCTCTGGTGCCTCTTTCACATTTTCGACATCACACCTTTCTACCAGATGACCTGTCTATATGCTTAATAAACAAAAAGGAAATACCAACACAGGTGCCCTTTCACACACCCGTACACCCCTTAGTCTCTGAGGGGAAGCTGGGTATGTTCCTCTGCAGCTCACAGCTGCCTAAGGGTCAACAGCGGCAACCCACACACAGGGAGCCATGGGCAGCCAGCAGACCTGGGTCCTGCCTCAGGCAGCGTGACCTTAGGTAAATACTTCACACCTGACCTTCTTTCTGTAAAATGAGTGTTGGACTTCACTAGACTATTTCTAGGGTTCTTTCTTCTCCTCAACCTTTTATTTTGAAATTTTCAAACATACAGAAACATTGAAAGAATAGTACAATAAACTATACTATCCACCTAGCTTCAACAGTTGTTAACATTTTGTCACATTTGCTTGATAGATAGATAGACACAGAAACATAGAGATATATTTGGCTAGATTATTAGAAAGTAAGTGACAGACATTGTGAGGGTTTATTCTTAAGTACTTCACCATGTATCTCCTAAGAATAAGGGCATTCTTCTACCTAATCACAATACTATTATCACATTTTTTTCATTATTGCAAACACAAGATTTACTGGAAATTATCAGTGTTACCGAAGATAGCCACAAAGATGATACTCATACTAGCCACAGCATGTTGAAAGACTTTTCTTTAGTGTTGCACATCTTCTCATATGTATGGTCCACAGAAGCAGAAAAGTCCATATTCTATCTATAAACCTATAGATATGTACTTTCAAATTTTATCTATAGCTTTAAAGGGAGAGAAGTTTCTATTTTGATGCCACCATTTTGTTTCACACGATCAAAACTGTTGACAGGAAAGCTCCCACTGTCATGCTTAATATCCTGGTCCTGGCTTACCTACAGTCTTCCAAGTTTTCTCACTCAGAGACATCAACTTGCTGGTCTTATGGAAATATTGTTTTCCAGCACAAAATACAGCCACCCTGGTCTCTGATAGGCTTGATATGCTCATTATTTCTCCAACCTGCTCTTGGGGGAATCTCCACAGAGCTGGCTTTTATACGATTCTTCAGATTTCTTATAAGCAGTATTTACATTCATGTATAGTGGTATTCCTCAGGTTTTCCTTCCACGTGACTTTTGCTCAATGCTCTTCATTTTCTTGATATAGATATATTTGGTCATACCAAATTTTTCACAGCTTCCCTTAAGTGTCTTTTTCACTATCAGCATCATGGGCTACCAAATCCAGCATTCGTTTTGCAACCTTCAAATATTTTTCCTCAGGGTGGAAATTTCTCATGCTTGATCACAACCCAAAGATAGTTTGGTCCCTCTTTTAGGGTTTCATAGCCAGAGCTACACACAATGCAGAGTAGAGAGCCAGGAATGTATGTTCCCTTTTCCTCCAAGCCAATGACCCACATACATCTTAGCAAAACCTATTATCACACTTTTAAAGATTCCATATCATCTGATATTCTAGGATAGCTTATTGCCCTTAAAACATATTAATAGCAATGACCCCTCAGAACTTCCCCCAGAACATCTCATTTTTAATAGCTAACATTTATTGAGCACCTGTGTACCAGACCATATCCTACATGCTCTACATGTATTATCTTATATAAGACTCACAATTACTCTTTGAACTAAATGCTATTATTATCCTTTTATTATTCCCACTTTACAAATGAGGAAACTGAGTGAGTTACCTAAGGTCGTGCGGCCCGTGAGGAACAGAGGCAGGATTCAGGCACCGGCAGTCAAGCTCCAGAGCGTGTGTGGTTCATCCTCCCAGCTGAACCACCTCCCTCCAGCACACTGTAGACTATAAATTGGCAGAATATACCCACGTCTCCAGCTGCCCATTTCACAGATGAACACACTGAGTCCCCAAGGATAATGACATGCCAAAGAAGTTAAAGGCAGATTTTCATTTCACCTTATAGTTCAGCAAATGATTTGGCACCAAGGAGCAACCTGAAAATATCTGTGGATCCCATGGTGGTCTCTGGTAATAAATAAATGCACATCTGATGATCTCCATGTACACCTCTCCCAGTTCCTCACACGTGGTTTTGATCATATTAATTAGACAACCATCTGGAAACCACTCTTCACTTGAAGCCAAGACATCTGGATGAGTGCATTCAACCAATCCGTTCATTCTATGTATATTTGTTAAACACCTACTATGTATCAGGCACTTTTCTAGGAGCTTGGGATACAGCAACAACTAAATGCACAAAGACTTTGTTCTTATTGAACGTATATTAGTGGGGTAACAATCAATAACAGATTAGCAAATAGTATAAAATATGTCAAGTTGTAATCATCACTAAGAAGTAAAGTAAAGCGTGGTAATGAGAGAGAGAGACAGGGGGAGGGGGTATTTCAGAAAAAAATAGTCAGGGCAAGTTTTTTTGTTAAGGTGAAATTTGGGCAGAGGCCTGAAGGAAGTGGGAGAATTTAACATGCAGGTATCTGAGGGAAGAGTGACGAAGCTTAGAGGACAGACTACAAGGGCTCCGAGAAAGGAGCGGGCTTGGCGTGTTCAAAGAATAGCAGGGAGACCAGTTTAGCTAGACTGGAGTGGGCCAGGGGAAGAGAGATGGGAGCTGAAATCAGAAAGGTAGCAGGAGCCAGGTTTTATATGACGTGTAGGCCCTCATAAGGATTTTGGATTCCACTAAGAAAGTGAGATGGCAAGCCTTACAAGATTTAGAGTAGAGGCGTGGTATTATCTAATTGCAGTTTTTAGAAGATTACTCTGGATGCGAGGGTTGGCAGGGGGGCAAGGATAGAAGCAGTGAAGCCAGTTAGGAGGCTGTCAGAGTTGTCCAGGCAAGATACGGTGGTGGCTTAGATTAGGGTTGGAGCAGTGGGGTGAGAAGTGGCCAGACTCTAGATACAACTTGGAGGTAACGCTGAAAGGACCTGTAGATAGATTGAGGTTGCAGCATGAAAGAGAGTTAAAGATGATTCCGAGTTTTGAAGTCTCAGCCACTGGAAGAAAGGAGTTGCTATTTACTGAGGGAGGAAGACTAAGGGCTGAGTAGGAATGGGGAATACAGAGTTTGCATGTGCTTAGTTGATTTAAGTTGGAAGTTTGATATGCACGTTATACACCTTAGTAGAGTAGGAAGTTGGGGTTCAGGGGAGAGGTAGAGGGCTGGAAATATAACTTCAGGAGTCATCAGTATGTGAATGGTATTTAAAACCATGGGTCTAGATGAAATTATCTAGGAAGTGACTATAGCTAGAAAAAAATGTTTAAGAACTGATCCTGATGCAAATTGATACAGCCACTATGGAGAAGAGTATGGAAGTTCCTTAAAAAACTAAAAATAGTATTACCATATGACCCAGCAATCCCACTACTGGGCATATATATATACCCTGAGAAAACCATAATTCAAAAAGAGACATGTACCACAATGTTCATTGCAGCTCTATTTACAATAGCCGGGACATGGAAGCAACTTAAATGTCCATCAACAGATGAATGGATAAAGAAGATGTGGCACATATATACAATGGAATATTACTCAGCCATAAAAAGGAACGAAACTGAGTTATTTGTAATGAGGTGGATGGACCTAGAGTCTGTCATACAGAGTGAAGTAAGTCAGAAAGAGAAAAACAAATACTGTATGCTAACGCATATATATGGAATCTTTTAAAAAAATGGTTCTCATGAACTAGGGGCAGGACCAGAATAAAGATGCAGACGTAGAGAATGGACCTGAGGACACGGAGAGGGGGAAGGGTAAGCTGGGATGAAGTGAGAGAGTAGCATTGACATATATACACTAACAAATGTAAAATAAATAGCTAGTGGGAAGCAGCTGCATAGCACAGGGAGATCAGCTCAGTGCTGTGACCACCTAGAGGGACATATCCCTCTAGGGACAAATTTTTAGAAAGTTATAACCTTCCAAGACTGAACCAGGAAGAAATAGAAAATATGAACAGACCAATCACAAGTAATGAAACTGAAACTGTGATTAAAAATCTTCCAACAAACAAAAGCCCAGGACCAGATGGCTTCACAGGTGAGTTCTATCAAATATTTAGAGAAGAGCTAACCCCCATCCTTCTCAAACTCTTCCAAAAATTGCAGAGGAAGGAACACTCTCAAACTCATTCTATGAGGCCACCATCACCCTGATACCAGACAAAGATACTACAA